CATCTTTGGCCGATTGGGGGTGGGCCACCAGCACGTTGCGCAGCATCATATCGTCAAAACCGTCCAGGGCAATCAGGTCAGAGAGTACGGAACGGCTCAGGTAGGGCGCTTCGTTCATCATATCCAGGTACAGCTCATAGTACTCATGCTGGGGCGTAAAATAGATCTCGGCCTGCAACTGCCAGGTATTGCCGCCATCAATCAGGTTACCCAATAAGCCCTGTAACGAATCACTCTTGCTGCTGTAGTCTGCAAAATCAATTTCGGCTGCGTTAAAGGGATAGTCGATCTCAGCCAGGGTATCCCCCTCGGGGCGTATGAGCAGTTGGGTGGGGCAGGAATTGGTATTGTAATCTAAGTTAGGATTATCGAAGTTCAGTACGCCCTGGTTGGGAGTAGCTTCTACCCGGGTATTGGAGGTTTTATCATGATGATGGTAATTGATGTTGGGGGTAAACTCATTGTAAAAATCCCATTGATGATTGGTTGTATCACTGGAAAACAGGTTACCCGCCATGTCATCCTGTAAAGGATTTGTAGATACTTGATTTCCCTGATTTGCCCTAACTCCATCCAGACTGCTATTAAGCGTACCCCGCACGTAAATATCGGTTTTAGGGTGGGTAAATTCATTGCATTTACACTGTAAGCCTACGTTACCGGAGCCATCCCGGTTTTGGCCCAGGGCTTCAATGCCCAATACGGAACTAAAACGGTTTTTGTAAAGAATGTCGCTGAAATCGCCATTGTCATTTACTACCAGGGCAATGTGCGTGGCGGCAGGAGCGGTGGAAAAATTCCGGTAAGGGCTGATCGTATTGATGAATAAATTTTCTTCGGCACTAAACGTACCAGCCTGATTCAAATACAGACCGTAAGGTACATCAATACCATTGGAGGTAGTGCCGGGCACATCTTTAGGCAGGTAAAAATCGTTTTTGTACACTTTGTTTAAACGTGAACCCGCCAGGTAAACACTGTAGCGGTTGGCACGGAAGACACTGTGAGCAATGGTACTTCCTTTAAGGGTGGGTTTAGTGGACAGGGCATGTATACCGTACTTGAAATGTTGCACCGAAGAATGGGAAATATGGGCACTGGCATCCAGCATAAAGATGCCGTCTTGAGGGTAGAGCGGGTTTTGCAGGTTTGCGATGGATTTCTGATCCAAATCACAGTGGTCAAAAGTAACGCCATGTACACCCCACAACGATACGGAGGCTCCCCGGTACGTACCGCTCCCGATGGTTAAATTCTCATCTTTCAGGAAATCAGAATGTCGAAAACTGGCTTTATACCCCACCCAATCGGCCAGCCAGTGCCCGATTTGGGCAGAGCGATCGTATTTCACCAGAGCCACATCCCGAAGATTGTTGTAAAACAGAGAACTGTCTACTTCAATAATCCCTCCGGATGGGTTTACGGCACAACTGTAAATACCTCCGTTCATTATAGCATCGGTAGCCTTGGATAATTTAGAGCGGTGCATCCGTAACGTGCTTTGATATTGGCTGGTCTGAGGCTGGGTATTATCTCCTAAGAGGCGAATGCCGCCCCAATACCCATTACCGGATGAGATGGAAGAACAGTTAATGACCAGTTCCGCATTGGGTTCTACTTCAATAATGGCGTCTTTGCCCATAATCACCACTGCACCGTCCAGAGTGAGCACAGCACCGGATTGTATACGGATGTTCTGATACACAAAGCGTTGATCGGTCCAGGTTTCATTGGCGGTAATAGTTCTGAAGGTGGCAGGGGCACTAGTAGGCAAATTCGTTTGTAGAACTTCGGGCACCACACGAAACAGATGCCTGCGCATACGAGCGACTTGGCGGGGCGACCACCAGTTTTGCTGGCCGTATCCCATAAAATTATCTGGACATACATTTCCGGGGTAGGGCGTAGTGGGCGGGCATACGCAATTGACGGGTGCTGGTGCGCAGACGGCCGCTGATTTGGCAAAAATATCAAGGGGTGTATCGTCAATACCATCTCCGTCCCCAAATGAATTGGTGTGAAACGTGTGGCTTAAACTCAGGCAATGCCCTATTTCATGAGCCAGCAGTGCGATACCCCAGGCGGTGGTGTGTTCCCACATGGTTACGTATTTTGAACCTTGAGCGATACCCCAGGGCACCGTTTTAGGTGTCTTATGGTTGTACGACTCGGAAGAGTAGTTGACAATAAAATGACTGTTTCGTACCTCTTCCGGCAGGCTGCTTTTCACGAGATCATAGTCTACTACATTGTTTCCGGCTGAATCAGCTGTACGGTAAAAGAAACGCGACAACACAAAGCGAATGCGGGTATCGGTAACTGTTGAAGTAGGATTGGGGTTAGCCACAGCTGGAGCCGGGATATTGCTAAAACAATTACCGTTCATAAAGGAAATGGCATTGGAAAAATCGGTAGAGTCCTGTATAAAGTTATCCGTAAAAGGTGAATCCCCGTTTTGGTCCCGCGCGATCATTACAGCAATTCGAACTGTAAGTATGCTGTCACTGGCAGCAGGGATATAGTTGTCCACATCAGAAGTACAGCTTGCCGATTCGGAGGGGTAGTCGTAATGAGTCTCAGTAGTATCTGTCCAGCCGCAGTTGTCTTGGGCATAGGCGCTAAAAGCGCATAAGAACAATAGTGCGCAAAGAAGTAGTTGTTTGTTCATGAGAGAGATTTTTAGCCCTTGAAAGTACAACTCCCATAAGCGTAACTAGTATACCTGCATAGCGAACAGAGGGTTTATTTAGTGAAACGCCCTGGATTTTTAGTGAAACGTCCTTTTTTTTAAGTGTAGAGGTGTCTGTATCTGCTAGCTATGATCTCATCGCTTTTTATCGGTAGATTGTCTCATCCTAAACTGGACCCTTCTTCTGAGCTCCACTGTTCATAGCCTTTTTACCAAACGGTCGGGGTCAGCCGCATAAAGAATTAAGTTAGTGGGGTCGGCCTGCAGCATCCGCGCCCGTGGGTATTGATGTGCTAAGCTCTTGGTTACTAGTACGGGCCAAGTTCGCCTAAACCATGTGCCCTTCGGATCATTCTGCTCTAAAGACCCCAACCAAATTAAATATTAAAGGATATGGGTTGATGATAACCGTACCACTGATCCGCGCCTTTCTTCTGTTTGAAACCCAAGGTAGCCAAAATAGCGGCATCCTCTTCCTTGAGGGCGGAGTCAAACGTCAGTTCGATGCCTTTTTTTGCTCGGTTATGGTGGAGGATCAGTTTCATACGGTCTGGAGTTCAGCCTTCACGCCTTCAGTTCTTTCCGGATCGTTCAGTCCGTAAGCCTGATTGCATGGACTAAATTACAGGCTCACAGACGCTTAAACTTGGTAGGGTTTTGTACCCCGCGACAATCGTTGTCTTGAGAAGGGAAGCTCTGGAAAGGTTGGAAAGGGTTGATGATGTTTCTGGTATTTCCAGCTTTTACCTGGAACGCCTCTTCTGATTTTAACAAGATCGGTATTGGTCAGGCATTCGAAAAAAGTTGCTTTCTGTGCATGTGAAATCAAGGGCGTGGTTGTACAGCCGTGGGTTGAAGAAAGATAAAACAGAGGCCGTGGTTGTGTACACCCATGCTATAGCATGGGTGCGTGCACCCAAAGGGTTAACCGCGCCAGAAAGGGTAGTGCTGTACACAGCCGAGGGCGGAAAACAGGTAAAACAGAGGCACGGCTGTACAGCCGTGCTATAAGGTGGCTGCGTGCACCCAAGGGGTGAACCGCGCCAGAAAGGGCAGTGCTGTACACAACCGTGGGCGTAAAACGGTTAAAACACGGGCATGGTTGTACAGCCGTGGGGGGAAAAGAAATAAAATAAAAGCGTGGCTGTACAGCCGTGCTATAGGACGGCTGTGTACAACCGAGGGTCAACCTCATGAAATAAACTACTGATCAAAGTGGGAGGCTTCCTCAAGGTAAGCGGCACTTATTTGACAGAACCGTTTACCGTTCTTCAGTTTCTTCTGGATAGATTGAAAATTGTTATATCACTGCCGAAAATAGTACTCAATCATACCCCCATTTACCGTGATAAAGTGGACCAAACTTTTTTTATGCGATACTATTCAGGGCTTTTTCTTTGCCTTATTGAGCTGATACTGGTTCATGGTATTGCATGATAATTTGGTTTTATTTGGGATTTCTGGCTTCCATTTTTTTGTTTGACACACCTAATGCGGGCGTTTAAACAACATTAGCCCTACTATGGACATTATTTTATAAAATAAAGCCGGGCACACTTAAAAAGTGTACCGAACCCCACACACGCTTGTTGCCCACTAGACAGTTAATTCTTAAAAAGAGCAAATCAGATACTTTAACACATTACTCAGCTCGGTAGGTTCGCACTCTCCGTTTTCGATAAAGTGTCTAGTTATTTTTAGGACTTACCAGTTTCCAAGCTTTGTCTATTACTTCATCCAATTTGTCTTTGTCCGTGACTTCGATAAGGTCAGCAGATAATGCACTTAGTTGATTTCTCTTAGTATCATCATAGGTGTTTCTCATTGCCTCGCGTAAGGCTTCGCTCACACGGTTTCCAATTTTCCTGATCAATACACCAGCTTCATAATCCAGATCGTCCAAGCTCTTGTTCCATACTGGAGGCTCCTTATTATCAAGGGCTTTCTTCTGCGCATGGTACAGGTTTACCGCATGCTCCATTTGCCTGTAATAATCCGCCCCAACTTCTCCACGTCTGTCGTGTTTATCACATTCATAAATGGTGGTCATTAAGAACTCGTAATCCATTGATTCCATTGCCATGTCTATTTTCTTTTGATTTAAAAGCAAGGTAGTGGGCTGCATTTTAACTTCATAAAAGTTGTGCAATCCTTGCATTAAAAAACCAGACTTGTTTCCAAAGTTGGCCTCTCTTCTTTTTTTAATTAATGCACTCAAAGTACATAACAAATAGGTACTCGCCACAGGCAAGCACCAGTTACCACAGTGCACAAGTGAGCGCCAGTTGGGTCTTTCTGGAAAGCCTTTTTAAGTGTGTTCTTAGGTTCAGGTTATTTCTTTCAATCCTCAAGGTTTGATAAGCACTGGTTAGGTGAAGGTTTGAGGGAATAAGACCTTTGTATACCAATAGCCCGTCTGTGGCAATTAGCCTTGGTTGATATTTTAATACTTCTGAGATCGTTGGTCTTAAAAAATCTCCGCTTCTGCCCCCGACCACGAAATCGACCACCCTCTTGGTTGACCTGTCATAGATATAGCTGATCCATTGTTCGTTTTTTTTTATTGACTGAACGTCCATATTTTATCAGCTACATAAATACTGCCAGATGGTGTTAAT